AAGCATGCTGTGGCTTAGACTCCATGCCCTTGGGAAGCCCGAGTTGACGACCTACAAAGGCTCACTACCACAGACACTGGACAGGAAGGATCCAGTTAGCTTTTAAACACCTGGATAGATAAACAATTTTAAAGAATTGTGGATTTGTGATGTTTGTCTGTAATCCTTTTGAGCCCATTAAAAGCAATAGTTTGTATACTTACATGTGCACAATACAAAGTTTATAATTGGCGACATGGCCTGCTGGAATAGAGCTAATACATATGGATCTACCGTCCTTCCTTCCTTTTTTATTTTTTTTTAATATTACTCAAATGTTATCTTGTACAGTTGACTGTTTGCAGTTGGGTAGGGATATGTTCAGGTTATCCCCGGTACATACAAATTTTGACTGATTTGTAATTGGTTGGACTTTGGTCAATTCTTTCATGAACTGGTTCTAGTCAAGCTCACCTTAGTCTTTGGAGCTTTGGGTATAAACTACTATTTGTAGCAGTGTTTTTTCATGTAATTGTTACAGGGATTCTACCCCATTGAAACTCTTCCTCCAAGCTAGTGGCATCTGATTTATATCAGTCCAGTGCAAAATTCTCTGCACTCATTCCTGCTAGGCATAAGAGGACTTACCTGATTTATTTTCAGCCTTAAAACCCATTTCAGCTGCAAAACATTTGTACATTTATGTGCAAGCTGCAGATCATGTCAGTGCATGTCTGTACCCCTGAAGTGTAGCGTAGAGAACCATAACAATGGGACATATAGCCACCTTTTGTAGAGGCTACTCTAAAGCACAGGGTAACCACCAAGTCACCCTATTGCAATAAGTATTGATCCAGTATTGGTGCACCTTGACCCAGCCGCAACTTTCACAAATGTTGGCAGATGTATGCAACTGAGATCTGTTTTCAGATTGGAGACAAACTTGATAGGTCCTCATGTTGCCTAATAAGGCTGACTGCCTAAGAATGTTGTATTGTATTGAACACACTAAGTGGAAAACAGATGTTTATAGCTTGGAGCAGTATCTGTAATTATAGATACTGATGAGCCAACAGAACGTGGTGAGTTTCTAGATAAGGAGGAAAGAGAGTATAGGCTGAGGGTTTAAAAAAAAAAAAAAGCCCTGTATCTTCTGTGAACCCATTTGTTTCAGCAAGTGGGATTTTTGAGCTCACATGACTGCCATGTTATATTTTTCAGGTCACGTTCTCTCAACGTCATTTTGTCCGAAAAAACAAAATCAATTATTTGTGACATGTCAATCATTGGTATTCGCAAATGACATGAAAATAATTGCTGGTTCATATTCCTTTTGGAAACTGGGATTACTGGTGTATATTACATTATGGTGATACATGATGGTCTACAAAATATTAACTAAAATTTTAAAATGTAGTAGTATTAGTAGATTTGACCCCATCTGACCTGCAATATTACACAATTTTAATATATTTGTTTTGCAGCTAAAAGTTTGTTCAGTTTGTGTCATGATAAAGTGGATCACAGCATCTTTGAGTGGGTACAAGAGATGTATATTTATTTCTGCTTACGTCATGAAATTTCCCATACAAAATGTGTGGGCACAGGCTCCTTTTAAAACCCAAAGATGATTTGTGTGGTGATGTCCTCACTTCCTCAGGGATATTTTAGTAATCATGACACACACCTCCCATGACTGAACAGTCATAAAAGCCTTCCCTTGTGGGTATGACTACATTTAAACACAGAATTCTAAACCCATAATGCAGAATTAGTAACCCCTTCATGCAGGTATATGTAATGGTGAATATACATTGGAGATAAATGTTCATCTGTCATCGCCTAACTCTTTAAAGTGGTATTAAACTTGGTTTTGTTGTGTGTGTGCATGTGTTTGTTTTTTTTTTTTTTTTTTTTTAACTGGTGGTTTATGGCATTATGTTCTATTATGCACCAAATATTAGCATGTTATGATAGACCTACCAGTGAAATTAAGCCCTGTAGTGCTGATGGTCAGCACTTCCTGGCACTTCCATTTTCTCCCAGTCTTTCTTTCAACTTTGCACACTCTGACTGCTTGAATGGCTGGCCCACGATGACGTCAGGAGTCACCATCACAGAATGGCGCTCTCTGCAGTCACTGCACAGGCAGTGTGCCATACGTGCAGAGTGTACTGCGCACACATGAGTGACATCATCGGCCATAACTGATATCGCTATCTGCTAAACAGTGCAGATTTACTGTTTCCAGTGTACCTACGGGTAAGACTTATTCTAAACTTATCTGTACAGCAAAGTTGAAAGCACTTTAATGTGGTATTAAACTCAATTTTTTAATACCTTGGAAGCCCCCAATTGCTGGATGCTCTGAAATGTAAATCATGGCTTTTGTGAAGGATGCTGAATGACTTGTACACTTCCACCTCCTGCAACTGGTTCTTTGTATGTAGGATGGCCCCAGTGAGCATTTGGGAGCTATAAGAGGCAGGACGGGGTATGTGAGCATTCAATAAAAGTTAAAACGTACACTTTTGAGCCATAGGATTTGGGGCTGAAGATGCTGTGATATATGCCGACACCTGAGGATGTCAACTTTTGTCCTATAGTACAAGTTGCTTATACCTGTTGACAAGTATATTTGATGCTAAATACCATACAAAAAGAGGACCTGGTAAGTCCCAAAGCAAAGGTTTTAGGTTTATGCCTCCAGGCATATGAAGTGTTTGCCTTGATTGCCACCCTTGTTGGGAGGTGGAATGTGTTCCTTCCTCAGAAGTTGCAAACACAATTTAGAAGCATGTAGTGTTCTAAGTTACTGAACCAATCTAGAATCCTCCTTCCCTGTATGAATGGACCTTTTGTATTTTGGTGTTTGACCTTTGAGACATTGTGTAGCCTTGGTCATAGAAAATGCCATCATGGACAAATGACTGTTTTTAATTGATGAAACTACAGGTTGAATTATCTCCCACTTATGCATCCTCATTCGTTATTTTACCTCTCTACATAGAGGCATATACTGCAGTTGAGAAAGTGGACGTGGCTTTGGGTATTTTATGTATGTTGGAAAGAAAAGTGAGCTGTCCCAGAGCCATTCCTTTCATGTGTGCATGTTTTGTGAAAAGTATTAATAAAACTTAAAATTTGAGCTTACTAATCCTCCGATGTGGTGGCTGCATTGGTTTTCTTTTTTTTTTCAGGCTCATTCCTTCATTTTCACCTAGTGAATATGCCAGTAACACACTTCTCTTGGAGAAAACTCTTCTACTTACAACTGTATTGTATCTTTTGAGGAGCAGTTTTGTCACCCTAGGCTGCTCTGCTGATTTAGAATAGGTAGAAGGGAGCTATTTTGTAGGGGCAGCACAGTGGCTAAGTGGTTAGCACTTCCGCCTTTCAGCACTAGGATCAACAGTTTCAATACCAGCCACAGCACTACCTGCCTGGAGTCTGTATGTTCTCTCTGAGCCTGCCTGGGTTTCCTACGGGTACGCCAGTTTCCTCTCAAACTCCAAAGGACATGTTTGTAGGTTAACTGCCTCCTGTCTAAATTGGCCCCAGTAAGTGTATGTATGAATGTGAATTAGGGACCTGAGATTGTTGGCTTCTTGGGAACAAAGACTGATGTGACTGTATAAGAAATATATAAAGCACTGTGTAAATTCATGGCTCTATAGAAGTATCTGTACTAACTAAATTAAATAAAATAGTTCACAGAAGATAGTTGGTAGCAAGGTATCTGGCAGGATCAACAATTTTTCTGCTCTTAAATCGGCCATAGACGGATCAGAATTCAGCCAGTTCAGCAGGAACCAGCCGAATTTCAACCCATCTAAAGCACAGGTGTCAAACTGTTGTCCCTCCAGCTGATGCCAAACTACAATCCCCATGAGGCACTGCAAGATTGACAGTTACAAGCATGACTCCCAAAGGCAGAGGCATGATGGGACTTGTAGTTTCACAACAGCTGGAGGGCCACCAGTTTGACATCCCTGATCTATAGATAAAGCTGGTTGCACTGAAGTCGATCTGCCAATGAACTTCAGTACAACTAGCCTTCGGGTTACTTTTGTAAGATCACTGCTGGCAGTTATAGCCGCCAATAGTGTACATTGTATTCTGGTGGTAGGGAAACCTTCCCTTGTCAGAACACAATAGTGCAGTGGAAGGATCCCCCCCCCCCCCCCCCCCATTAACACTGACTGCGTTGATGGAGGAATCCTGTGATTTTATTTACTTCAACCTGTGGTTAAAGAAAAGAAGAACATTTCATAGTCTTTTGACCAGCCTTACAGAAAATGTACTTTAAATTGAAAAAAGATAGCTAGAGCAGCCACCATATCTAAATACTGGTAAGTTGCAATTTTGTATAGTTTTTCTCTTGGGTTTTTTTTTTTTTTTTTTATAAACTTCAAGCTCATCAGAACTAGAACCATTGCCAGTAATTTTAGTATCAGGTGTACAGACTGCTCAAACCTAAGACATCTGAATTCTCTGGAGAAATGTCTATCTTTAGCATTTTATTTGTGACTAAAATTAATTTAAATCAATAGCACTATGTTCTCTTTGCTTCTGAAATTGTGGAATGTATAGATTCTAGATTGCCACTGATTGTAAAAAACCTAGAAATCTAGAAACCTGATGTCCAAGAAGTGCAAGATCATCTTCCCATTTACTGCGTATACTGTGTTTGCCTTTCTTTAAAGGGTAATTCCACTTTTGCAAGAAAAAATTGGTGCAGAAGGGGTGGTATTATTATAATTTATTATTATCTTAGTGCTGATGATTTAAATTCATTTATTCACAAATGGCATGTTCTCTTTGCTATTTATATTGTGGAATGTATAGATTTTAGATTGCTACTGATCATAAGAAACCTAGAAATTTAGAAACCTAAATCGTGAGATATCAGCTTCTGCACAACAAAGACATGGGCTGTATGTGTAGTGATTGTTTCTAAAAGATAATGTAACTTTTCTTGAATGCGCTATTTTATTTTTTTACGTTTTTTTTCCCCTTAGGTACATTATATTCTACATGAAATGGTGATGGGTGGGATGGTTCTGGAGACCAATATGAATGAAGTTATTGCACAGGTAGAAGCACAGAACAAGCTTGAGAAGTCTGAGGTGAGTTCTATAAGTTATGGTTGGTATTCTTGATCTGATTGTTGAGGCCAATGCAGACTTTACTCTTAGATACTAGAAGTACAATATTATAACCACTTTGTAATAGAGTTAAAACTATGCAGGCACCATAACTGCTCTTGTTAAGTTTCAGAAATGATCATTTCTACCTTTTTTTTTACGCAGTTAAAAAGTTGTCATGTGACTGCATCTTTTCTTCGGGTGGTGGGTGGGTGGGTGGGCCGGGTCTCTTAGTGCACCACTCACTGGCCATTTGAAGTTGCAGGACTCTGTGGAGGGGGTACCCAGACATGTGAAACGCCTGATCGCATTTATATTTACTGCTGCCAGGATATCTATTGCATGCTCTTGACGATCCCCCTTGGTCTCCTTGATCTTATGAAGGCTAAGTTGACGTAGATAATGGTCAACGAACGTTTGACCGCTATTCTTCAAGACAGGATGGTATATTTTGAAAAAACCTGGGAACCTTGGATGCAATCTCTTTCAGCATCATCCTAGGATGGAGGATACTTGACATGGGATGTTGATAAACATAAAGAGTCTTGCTCCCCGCACCCGACTGTTGTTGGGACCCTTCTTCAACAAGCGTCCTTTGTTTCTTTTTTTTTCTTTCCTTTACTTCCCCTGTCTCTATTTTCACTCTTCCCTTTCTGTTTTAACTCGCCTCCTCTTTCCCTTCCCTGGATTTGAACATCTTCCATCTACAGGTCCCTAAGGGACCCCTTTGGTTACCATCAACAGAGATTTATTTTTCTTATTGAAACATTGTATTTTGTGAATTGCTTGTTCCGGCCCAAAAGGTCTGCAGTTTGCATGGGATGGAGGGGGGTAATAGATGTATATCTTCTCTGTACTGATTTGTAATTTCTACTGAAAAACTAATACACTATTGGAAAACAAATATAATCAGTGCCGCGCAGTACTAGGTAATAAACAAACCAATCTATACCATATTGCTCTTCATAAAGTGATGTGTCATTACTCAAAAAAAAAAATAGCCACATATACCAAACAAGGGGCAGGAAGCAGGGTGTGATTTTTTTTTTTATTTATTTATTTTTTTTATCAGGAGGCATGGCAGCAGAACGGACTATGGTACTACAGGCATGTTATGTTTCTGTCCTGTACCTCCCAAAATGGTTGGTCAAAGGATGGAACCTGACCACACAAGCACAAATCTGCTTCTGTGCTTTGTGTGGTCAGTTTAGAATAAGGAAGAAAGGTGAGTGTCAGGATCAGCCAGGTACTTCAGGTGGAAGGAGCAAATGAAAATGCAGGAAACTATGATTTGTAAAATACACATATAGAAAGAAAAAAAACTCTTTAGGGTAACATACATTCTAACACAATTGACATTATGAATCAACATAATATATAAAATCATACACTGCTTTTCCTTAGACATTGGAGAGTTAACCATTTGACGCCTGGCCTATAGCTGTTTGGCAGCCGCAAAAATGCATTACCTTTCTGGGGTGTACGCCATTTGGTGTCCTCCCGCACATGCGCAGTTCGTTCGGTTGCAGAGCAGCACAGCGGCGCGATCTGTCACCGGCCGTGTACCTCGGACACGGCCGATGACAGATCTGAGTACCGGCCCCTGTTGCCGGTACCATGTGACCTGCTGTGACCAATCACAGCAGGTCACATGACAGTTGTATACAATGGATGGCTTCATTCATGCCATCCATTGTATACCTAGTGTCTAGCTGTGAATGGTCACATGCACATGTCATGTGATTTTAGCTGTGACCAAATCAGAGCTAAGCACAAAAAAAAAAAAAAAAACTGAATGAATCGATGTCATTCAGGTAAATGCTTGCTTATAGCAAAGTAATTCTTTGCTATAAGCAAATTGTGTAAAAAAAAAAAAAAAATACTGATCACTTCCCCAAAGTAGTACAATGTTACTATGGTAACATTGTACTACTTTGGTCATAGTAAAAGATGAAAAAAAAAATCTTTATAAAAAAAAAAATATATATATATTTTTTTTTTTTCATACTGTCACCAGTCAGTGTCCCTGTTCACCGCCATGCCAGTTATATGATGACACTGTACTGCACTGGTGACAGTATGTAAAAAAAAAAATAGTGAAAATATTTTTTTTTTTTATTTTTTTCATTTTTCCGAAAAATTATGACAAAAAAAATACAACTTCAAAAAACTCGACATGCCTCTTATGAAGTACGTTGGACTGTCTGCTTTACAAAAAGGGGTCATTTGGGGATATCTGTACTATTCTGACATTCTTGGACCTCAAGAAATTAGATTGGCTGTCAGTACTTCAGGATTGATCAATATTCAGATCTATACCATAGTTTGTGAACTCTATAACTTTCCTACAAACTAAATTATACATCCTAATTTGGGTTATTTTCACCAAAACATGTAGCAGAATACATCTCGGCCTAAATTTATGAAGAACAATTATTTATTTGTAAACTTTTATAACAGAAACAAAGAAAAACGTGGTTTTTTTTTTCTAAATTTTCTGTCTTTTTTTGTTAATTTAGCAAAAAAAATAAAAACCCTGGGGGTGATTAAATACCATCAAAAGAAAGCTCTAGTTGTGTGAAGAAAATGATAACACTTTAGTTTGGGTACAATGTTGTATGACCGCGCAATTGTCCTTCAAAGTGTGAGAGTGCTGAGACCTGAAAAATGGCCTTAAAATTGGCCGGTTATTGAAATGGTTAAATAACTTGTCAGCCTATTTTATCTATCTGAGGTTTTGGTGATAAGAGAACCTCTAACTGCATGGGGAGGGAGACTTTGGCATAGTGGGGGTAGACAGAACTTAGAGCTATGGCAGTGAGATCTCCTTTGGAGCCCTTAGGAGATAAAGACGCCAGTGTATGATTCAACAACCCAATATTTTGCCAAAAAAGTTTAATGTCAGTTAAGCTCTATAACAAGAGTTGCAACATGTTTCACAAATCTGTAGATAATTATCTGAAGATAAGAAAAATGTGATATATTTTTTTTTTTTTTTTTTTTTTTTTTTTCCTTTTTCGTTACTTAACTACAGTGACATCTGTTTAAATAATCACATTTTCTCAAGGAAAGTGTTGATAATTCTGCTACAGAATAACAAAGTACAAAAAGATAATTTAACTCAATAGCAACTTTATGAAATTATAGCTTAAAGTTATATTAAACCCTCCGATTTTATAAGCACTTTCAGCAGCTGATTTAATCACTTATTGAGTATGCACCTTCTTTATATTTAATCCATGCCTATGTTCCAGTTTAAGCTAGTGCTCTGGCCGCTGCCCCTGGTCAGCATCCTATGGTGCCTCCCTTCCATTCAGGTACTAGAGTTGTGTCTTCATACACTGTGTGCACAATAGAAACAAACAGCCCCATAGCCATGGCAAAGCGCTCCTGCTTCTCCTTATTTTTCCCTCTCTTCGCCAAGCTAACATACTGACTCCAGACTGCACTGTCCACTGTTAAGTTCTTCCTGTGAAGACAAGAAGTTCAGGGAAGCAGCACTGCAAGAGCAGAAATCAGCAGCATTGAAAGTTGTAATGGTTTACTGGCTAATGTTTATTTTATTGTGTCAATGTGGTGAACTAAAAACCACTGAGGGTTTAATACTACTTTAATGTACAACACAATATGAAGAGCGGTAATGGATAATGATTCTTAACAACAAAATAAATATCAGCTCCAAGAAGTTTATAATGGTTACGATAGTGAGAGTAATGATGTAGATTATTCTCTTTTTTTTTTTTTTTTTTTTTTTTTTTTTTTTTTTTTCTTTTTTCTATGTCCAATGTCTATGTAAGAAATTAAATTTGCAGATCTTTATTTAACCCAAGTAAAGGGATCACTTTCTTACCCTGCTTAACCACTTGTCCTCCTGAGGATTTACCCACCTTCCTGACCAGGCCATTTTTTGGGTTACTGACTTTAATGGTCATGCAATGCTGCACCCAAATTAAATTTACGTCCTTTTTTTTCCCACTAATTGAGTTTTCTTTCGGAGGTATTTGATCACCTGTGCATTTTTTATTTTTTTGCGATACAAAAAAAAAAGACTGACAATTTTGAGAAAAAAAACAATATTTTTTACTTTTTGCTATTAAACATGTCCAGTAAAAAAGTAGGCCATAATGTATTCTGCTACATGTCTTCGCTAAAAAAAAAAATCCCAATAAGTGTAAATGAATTGGTTTGAATTGAAAGTTATAGCGTTTACAAATGGCGGTATAGATACTGAAAAATTTTTATTTTTACTAGTAATGACGGCGATCTGCGATTGATAGCGGGACTGTGGCGGGCATTCTGGCACTGGGTAGGAAGGCGTTAACATGACGGTTAACTGTGTGCGGTTTTACATAGTGCTGTGTCTGTGTGCTTCACTGTAATCACACTGCTTTGCATGATTGTGCTGTGCACAGCCATCCAAAGCGGTGTGCAGGAGCTGACAGGGAGGAGAAATGTTTTGTTTACAAAACAGTTCTCCTGCCCCTCGGAGATGCTTGGCAATCACCGGGCTCCAGCGAGTAATCACCGGCAGGGAGCCAGTGATTGACAGCCACGCGCACGCCCCCTACCCAGAAATGCAAATATATATAAATATCTATATATATTATATATATATGTGTATGTGTACCGGTATATATGTGTGTGTGTATGTATGTGATTTTTGAACACCCGTGTATAGTATATCTGCTATAGGGTGGTCGGGAAGTGGTTAAAGTGAAATACAGATTACTGTTGTATACAGTGAAGTAAATAAGTATTTGATCCCCTGCTGATTTTAAATGTTTAACCACAAATAAAAAAATGCAATAAACAGCGCAAAACACCACCTCAGTACATATACAAAAAATATTCTTAAATCAATAATAATGAAGAAATATTAATATGTAGTGTGAAAAAATCAATATATTAGTTAGATAATATAATATTGATGTGATCTAATAATAATAATAGTGTCCAAAGCAACTAAAAAAGTCCAAGTGAAA